ACGGAAAACGTGAAAGTGTAAGAAGGGAGGCGTCAGCAGTAGCATGTTTTCGCTTACCCGCCCTGCTGTATGCAGCAAGTAAGGCGACCCGGCTGATGGCACCACGCGACGGCCGATGTGGCATGAGAATATTGTTAGTTCTGTAGGTCATGGTTGTACGAGGGCTGGGATACTGCCAGGGCGCCCACACCTAGACAGGAGGACGATTAGGGTCCTCAGCCAAAGCCTTTGGCTCAAAAGCATAACCGCAAGGCAGCGGTGTTTGGCGGGGAAATGCAAATGCATTACCATTTCTACGGAACAAGTCACCACACATGTTCCAACCCCCAACCTGGAGGACCAGGAGACTGTGTTCGTCAGACATCGAACCATTGACCAACCCGGTATGAGAGACTCTGTGAGTGTCGCGTGGACACCCCCCAGTATAGCTCAATGGGTCGCCGAGGTACACAAACCGCCACACCACGATAAGGTCCAGTCTCTTCGTGACGGTATGAAATGCACTGAGATTATTGAAGTGTATGGTGCATTTTGTTCAGTTGATTAGCAAACGAGCCGACAAACATGTGAGAGATTTGGCAGACCTCAATAAATGGCCTACTGCGCTCATTCATGAGAAGGCATTTATGATACATTTATTGGTATAAATGGTGCTTAGTTATCGGAGGCGCGCCAGCACATTAATTGCTCGTGCCTACAATTATCGGCCGAATGCTACCAAAGTACTGCCAAATAGTGCATTTGCAGGTGGATTAAGAAATAGAACATTCACAGTCAAAGCTGGAGTTCATAGAAAGCATAAATGTGAGAAGTCTAACATCCGCTAAATAATTTCAAATAACTGAATAAAGGGAGTTATCATAGATGTGCACCTTTAAACCAGCAAACCTCAAGCTAAAAGGAGAACAGGTAGGACAAAATTGACCGGTATTTTCTTACAACTCAAGCTTAAAAATTCGAAGCAATATTCATTACTAACTGTAATATAAATGCTCACTTAATGTCCATAGGGGCTTGCACTGACTACCGATCCCGCCAAACGCTTGTAAGGATAAGACGGCACAGTGCTCGCCAGGTCCATGTACAAGTAACGGGGCAAACAAGATGTATGGTGACATAACTGACTCATAGTAAGACATTACGACCCTTCAACGTTTTGGATGCTGAGTACAGAAGAGCAACTGGAATACTTATAACTTGACGTATAGGGTGAAACTTAACAAATCTAAACGTGCTAATAAGTCCAAGTGGATGAGAAATAAACAAGGCAGGATATAAACATAATGGCAAACCAGTCAAAAGTGTGAACGTATGCCGATCACTTGATTTTCACCGAAGATCTCGAAGAAAACCTATTTGAAGCACTTATCAAAAAGGTCTGATCTTCGTTGCGTCGTTCATTCAAATTGAGCGTAGCATTCCATTATTCTTTTCCCTGCACATTCAACTTATTTCATCAGTATTGTACACAGTATCGTCCGGTTTCTGCACTGAGTGCTCACCAAAAAAAGATTGCACTGGTTAGAACAGTAAGAGCGAAAAAACCGGAGGAAAATATGATCGCGTGTTGTAATCCAAAACAATGAGTAAATAAACGGGGACACAAGAGGTGCTTACCGCAAACCAGATGCATCACTTTTACATGACATTTGGGGAGGCCACATAGTCATCAGCTTGTAGCACCTGTAAATTACTACTTCCCTGCTCAGTACCATATATTTCCCCCTGTCAACACTTGTAACTTCAATGTACAAAGTTTGTTTAGTGAAATATACACATAAACCTCCAGGCCTCTTAGGATAGACGGGACTTTGCGCCTTTTGATGGGTGAGTGATCTTGTGACTGGCAGCTGAACAATACTGGCTAGCACTAATTTCCAGGGTGAGCAAGAATTTCAGCTGCAAACACTGGAGCTGTTCGCTAATGTCACCAGATGAAGATTGCGCCCACAGGAAAGTAGAATTTATTCTTTTTGGTGTGGCGGTTCAACGGAATACGGGCCTTAGGGAGTTAAGTTTTCCTTGGGAGGTTCTCCTTGTGACATTATATTTGACATGAATTATTAGCTTGTTCTGTTGATCAGAGGCTCCTGGGGTGGGGGGATTTAATTACAACAAATGGAATCTCTTGTATATGTGGAGGGAGCACAGATCAACTATGTTATTCGTGCATCATTCCTTACCGAAAGGTACACCCTTACTCTCCTTGTGCGTAGAGCTCATTAAATACCACGCATAAGTTTTGAAGCTAACTCATTCAACCTACAAAGCCGTCAAGCTCAGAGTAGAAGGAATAAAAGTGCCAGGATAGTCAATAGACAACTAAGTCGTTCGAACTTCGTAGAAAGTAAATACAAAAACCAGCTCAATCATACTGTCTTGAGAGAAAACCCTGACAAGCAGATTTCCAGCCTGTCGATCAACCGAAGTACTGAGGAGATCATAGATTTGCTAATATTAGACATAGGAGTGACATGATAATAGAATATAATATGGTAATGGAGGAAAATACCCACTAAACACTTCACAAGCAAAATCCCATTTGCCCACCGCAGCGCTTCAACCTGATGTGTTTGTTTCCGCACGTAAGCAATGATGACCTACAAATTGACAATGCAACCAATTCAAACAAATTCGAACTGAAGTTTAGGTGCGCATCAGCGAGACGATCATGACAAACACTTCATAGGTGATTGACCAATGGACCCAGCAGCCGAGACGAAGGCTTAAGCCGCGAGAGACCAGTACGGACAGCAGACTTAACAAACAGGTTCAGCAGACTCATCCCATCCAATCTCGTTTCGGGGTTGAAGGTGATTTAGCCCGTCAGCTTCTCCTCTTCCTACCGAGATCCATCCAAAGATAATCCAAGCCCGTCCTGGTCGTCAGCCTAAGAGTGGGTCATTTTTATTTTCAGCACTTTCTCTCTGAAACCTCGCCTTCTAGCCTACTGTGAAACGGCACCCTATGCCGACGACCCGTACAGGTACATGCTACGGGTACGGGTATAAACACTGGTTGTTCACCACGGAGCCTCGATATTTCCACCTTCTGGACCAGAACTGTCCCTTTCTCGGTGGGATCCCAGATAGCCCATTATATGTCGGTCTTCTATTCCCGTTGTTTTTCCCATGGAACGCGAGGAAGCCCCCATCACAATTTCACTGGTTACAAGAACATAGGGGTTTGGTCTGCCTCGATTGCTTTCCCCCAAATGATGTACGGGCTATCAGACTAGCTGACACTTTCCACAAAATCTAACCCAGAGTAGGTCAGTCAGAATCCACCGTACTGCACCATACTTTCCTCCGTCCCCAAAAGAATGTTGCATCATGGTGTGGATTAAGGCGTTCAGTATTCGCACAATGATACTGAATTTTCGAAAGCTACCACGGACTAAAAGTGACAGACGAGTGAGTTCAGAGTATAAGTCCAAACTTTCGGGCTCCGCCTAGGCATCCGAGTTATCAGCAATGCTAGGAATGTATTCCACTAGACATTTTCCGCCAGGGGGCATGGTTGCTTCAGTGGACAATGAAATTTGGCGAGCTGGAAAATGTGAACGTAGATTAGGACTGTTTTTGTATGAGCACATACGCAACAAAATACAGAATTTTTGCGCAAAAACTTTTAAAACGTTCGCGAAGGTTTTGCAACTAAGAACATTGTCCGGCCGATCGGCTCCTATCTACACATGTCCAGAGAAGAGCTGTATTCTCTCCCACCATATTCGTTCCATTCCCGAACAATCGCCCAGGCTGCACTGTTCCCTGTTTCTCGTTCATTACGTTTTACTCCGATGATAACAACCTTCCCCAACAGTCATACTTTAGTCTTTCATTCATGGCCAACTATGAATTCACTTCAGTAAACTGACTAAGATTTATAAGCTCCCACAATCTTGGGTTCCAAAAACCACTGTTAAGCCTAACGTCACGTTTGGATAACCCGTGTTCCCTGGCCTTCCTTCCAAACTGTCTGCATTTTTGACCAGGATGGAAAATCCACCAAACCCAGTCTACGATATTCAGGTACGTTAGCCAACGTAATAAACGCCACTTATTGGACTCGCTTGCTTGTTATTTAAACGCATGGTGTCTCAGGTCATCATAGTCACAGGAGCTATATCTAAGAACATGTAGCCTGATCAAAGTTGCAATTACTTTTCAGGGCGTGCACAACCAACGCAAGCACCTATGCAACAAACACTTTAAAATGCGTAGGATGAAAAATTACTTTTACCGTGAAGGAATACTGACGTGATGGATACTGGAGGGTAACAAAAAAGAGGAATTACTAGCTTAACCACCGCTCAAGTCGCGAATTAATTTGATGCATCTAGACTAAAACGAATTTCAGTGTGACGTATCACATTTTCGACTCCGCAACCCGACTAGTGAATGCCGTCAAACCCAATGGCAAATCGAAAGTATAACCACCCCGCACGTGTAAAATTTTTAAGGGGTAAGGTTCTGAAACGTGCAATTCTTATGCATCCCCAAGCCGCGCTCCTCAAGGCCGCATGGCTCAAACACCGTAGCTTCTCCTAACGGGTGCTTTGATCCACTACAGCTTCTCAATTATTTACCTTCACATGTAGTTAGGCGGTTTCCTTCTACATGCACGGAACCAGAGTCCAGACTTAACATTCAAACCGGGGGCGAATAACACGGTTTCTGTGGGCCCTAATAACTCGCTCCACCTAGGATGGAAACATTGATTAAAACGTTTCAGCAGCTGCCACTGTGGATGGGTCGAAAGCACGACTAATGACAAACTCGAGGTCCCTGACTCCTGTATTCCTTATGTTTATTTATTTATTTATTTATTTATTTATTTATTTATTTATTTATTTATTTATTTATTTATTTATTTATTTATTTATTTATTTATTTATTTATTTATTTATTTATTTATTTATTTATTTATTTATTTATTTATTTATTTATTTATTTATTTATTTATTTATTTATTTATTTATTTATTTATTTATTTATTTATTTATTTATTTATTTATTTATTTATTTATTTATTTATTTATTTATTTATTTATTTATTTATTTATTTATTTATTTATTTATTTATTTATTTATTTATTTATTTATTTATTTATTTATTTATTTATTTATTTATTTATTTATTTATTTATTTATTTATTTATTTATTTATTTATTTATTTATTTATTTATTTATTTATTTATTTATTTATTTATTTATTTCTATTGTCACTGTTACATTTGGCTGCTCTCCACGTTTCAGTGCCAAATGCTGCAAAAATCCCGCCGACGATGCACACATCTTCATTGCAACAAAAGAGTATGTAGAGGTGCACTACTTGGAGGACACTTTTTGACAATGATCCATTGATCGGCGTCTAGTAGGCAGCCATCAATATTGACCGTGCTACTGTGAAGTGCCTGAACACTTAACATTGTCGTGTTCACGTGACGTGCCCGGACACTTCTCGGCTTACGCTGAACTAATTAAACAACCCATAGACCTGAATGCTTTTTGGCATCCCTTTTGATACTTTGGAGTAATTTAAGGGTGTCAGTTCACCCAGGGCATTCTGGGGTTAATTTCAGGAAACTGACCATCCTGACAACCACCAACATAGCGAGGGGTGGAGGGCAATAAGCCCAGGGATATTCTATTTGGGCGAAAAATTCCGTTTGAAGTTTCTACCTACTGCACAGCTATTTCACCAGCCTTACGTTGTCTATAAAGAGAAAACAGGGCTTGGCTAACCTCCCAATAACAGCTCACCCTGTTGTCCACTCTCATTCAACACCGGCAGATTTCAGTTTGTGTAAATGACGATGGTTGATGGAAACGACACCAAAATATCCTAATCTGGATCATTCTATGTCATCCGAAAAGTTCGTTATGATGCCCAGTACGAGCAGGAATTTGGACAAAAAGGTTTCATTTTGTGAGGACATGGTGAGCACTGCCCATAAGGTATGTTCTAAGTATTGCTTTACTGCGTTTTGCATTGCTCGATCGTCAAATTGCTTTCAGAAAAAAATTAATCGGAATAATTTTGCGGTTTAGTTGCAGCTTCTTCGTTGTCCATGTCTGTACAAAGTATTTGTGTCACATTTCTCCCTTATTCTAGCCTACGACTGCTGTGTAGGCATTCTAATCTAAGAGACGTCTTCACCCTGTCGTTTGCTCTCTCTCAGTTTTCTTTCTGGAGTCGTTCCATATCTTTCTCCATTTATTAAAGTGCAAGTGTCCCGTTACGCGGCGAGGCTTTTCTTTGTCTCTTAGGGTCTCACCGACTGTACATTTAGGTCATCACCCCCTAATGATCATGTTTTCTAATAATTCTGTGGTTCGCGTTTTACAGAGTGAGCATTTCCCTAATGGACCCAACATGCCCTTACTGTTCTTCTACCAGTGTTCTTGTTCTTTCCCTAATGGACCCAACATGCCCTTACCGTTCTTCTACCAGTGTTCTTGTCCATTCGACCGGCCGAGCGCAAGCCAAAACCAATTTGACGTCCACGCGAACGAAACACCCAAATTTGTGCCTGAGAGAACGTCTAAGATGCTCAAAAGATTGCTTCTAGTAGTCCAGCTGATCCCTCCGGCGTTCAAATTCTTTTTAGAAACAACAGTGTATTTTCTAGGGATCTTTAGTGTGTGTGTGTTAACAGATGAGCATTTTCGTCAATTCTGGAATATGAACCTGTGTAAATACATATGGCTATTGCTGTTGCAATCTGCAATGTGAATGACTTATGAGCTGTAAGCTTCTAACTGCTCCGTAATCGTTTATGTCGAAACTTCACCACATGTACCTTATTCGGGACTGCTAACATTCAGCTTGCCATAGGATTTGCCTTCGACAACTCCTTTCCCCTGCCACTAGGTGCATTGATCTGCTTGTTTTAAGGGAGGCCCTATTTTTGGTCCTCATGATCATTGCACAAGCAACACGTAAAAATCTTACTGTGTGTTGTTTGGGATGACCAGAGTCACTAGCTTTAAGGACGCTGAAAATTTTTTCTAATACAGCCCTCAGGTCATTTATACTTTTTTCCGCCATAGAGGTGATGTTTTCATAACCCCATTATTGTTTTCTGAGATTGCCGAACACCATGCTGGAAAATTCCGGCTTAATACGTTCTGGATGATTTGCATACTCGACTTATTGGTCTGAGGCCTGAGAGCCTTCTCTGTGTAATTCCTTTTTACTCGATTAGTCTCGTTGTCGAATACCGCGCGAGAGGTGCCAAGAATACTCGAAATAAGGATAACCTTCCATTGTTAGATTCGTTTGCCTTCGGTCATGTGTGTCGCGACACCTGTGATCGTAAAGTTCCACTAACATTTGTTTTGGATGGGTTAGTAAGCGAATTCTATCCAATTATGGGTTCATTTCTACTCAGTGGTGAGAAAAGATCCGCTTTCCGTATCAATGTCCGCTCCAGGTTTAAAGGGATGCTTTTCTTCGCATGGATCGCCGTCGATTAGTGCTCAGGAAGGCTATTATCAGAATATTCCTGTTTTGAGGCATTTTTTATCGAGCCGCACTCCAAAGTGGCCTTCGCAAATTATTCTTGTAGCTTATTAGACAGACAGCT